ATTCAAGAAGATTTTGACATCTAATCTGTTGCTCACTCATTACAATCCAAAGTATGAAATCATTGTGGCAGCAAATGCTTCAAACGAAGGTCTGGGAGCTTGCATTTTACATCGTTTTCCAGATCAAACAATCAAAGCAGTCAGTCATGCTGCTAGAAGTCTTACTCCAGCGGAAAAAAATTACAGTCAGATTAAAAAAGAAGCTTTAGCAATTATGTTTGCCATTACAAAATTTCATCGAATGATTTTTGGAAGGCATTTCACTTTACAAACGGATCATAAACCGTTATTACAAATTTTTGGAAACAAAAAGAGGATTTCTGTTCATTCAGCGAATCGTTTGCAACGATGGGCTTTGCAGTTACTGTCTTACGATTTTCAGAACGAATATATTAAAACTACAGAATTTGGACATGCTGATGTGTTGTCCATGCTCACTGATCAGCAGAATCGCCCTGAAGAGGATTTTGTTATTGCTTCTATTCAATTGGAGGAAGATTTATCTTTGACTTTGCAAGAGTCATTACAAACGGGGCCAGTTAACCCGATTACCTTTCAGCAGATTCAAGAAGCAACTAAGAAAAGTGATATTCTTCAGGAAGTAATTAAATATACTCTTATCTCATGGCCTCAGACTGTAGAAGAGTTATCCTTCCAGCCTTATTTTCGTAGACGTCATTCATTGTCGGTAATCCAAAACTGTCTTTCTTTCAATGATAGAATTGTGGTGCCGTCTTGTTTTCGTACACAGGTTCTTCGACAGATTCACAAGGGTCATCCTGGAATAGAACGAATGAAGATTTTGGCACGTTCATATGTATATTGACCGAAAATAGATGCGGACATTGAACAATTTGTTTAGCGTTGCAAAAATTGTGCACTCACCGCAAAGGCTCCTGTTAAGGTTCCTTTATGTAGCTGGGTTCAGCCAGCAGCATCTTGGCAGAGAGTGCATATTGATTATGCCGGTCTATTAAATGGAAAATATTTTTTCGTTCTGGTGGACGCTTACTCCAAATGGCCAGAAGTCATACTGACACAGTCAATTTCTGCACAGCAAACAATTAGTTTACTTCAAAGTATTTTTGCTCGCTTCGGCATACCTGAAACAATTGTTTCGGATAATGGAACTCAATTCATATCAGAGAAGTTCCAATCTTACTGTTCCCACATAGCATCGTTTGTAGCACAAACGTTTCCGCAACGGGTTCTCCGAAACTTAGCAACGTTTCGTTAAAAGTCTCTAAAACGTCGTAGTAACGTAGCGAAATCGTCGAAATGTCCGCTTTTCAAAGTTTCAATCCGACTTCGTAGAAACGTATAAGAAACGATGCCCNATAAGTTGCAAATACGTTTAAGTAACGTCACTGTAAACTTATACGAAACGTCGTAGAAACCTTGCCAGCTACATAAGAAACTTTGTTTCTTATTTTTATAGCATGGTTGTTCATTCGTTTCTACAACGTTTCCGTGAAATCATTTCCAAGAAACCTGCACGAAACGTTCCCAAAACCACTGAATAAATTCGAAAGATTTCTGTTTCTTTCGTTA